TATAATTAATTTTAAATTGTTAAATATAATATGTGAGATGACTTGTAATAGAAAAGAACAGAAAAAGAGAGTACACATGGCCAACCTCATTCATATGAGATTTAAAATTGAATTTATTACTTACCCCCAAAAAACAAAGTAATTTTCTCAGTGTATCGATTGAGCAAGATAAATCTGGGTCACTTCTAACTCCTTAAGGGAGTTTTGTTAGCGATAACTGATAATGGTTTGCTTGATGTGGTGCAAATTTGCATTTAAAGATGGGATATACACTGGTAATGCACTTTATGTTATAACTTTTTTTATCCAAGAAGTAAACATGAATTATGAAAGTTCATTGCTTTTATTTTCTATAAGCAAACTTGTTGCTATCACTCCATGGATATTTGGATTGTATCTGCGTAGGACACAAGTGGAGCTTCAATGAAGTACTTGGGTAGAACTGGTCGTCTACCTTTGTCTTGTTGGCTTTGTGTCTTAACTTCTAAGCCCAGGTTAAGGTCAAGGGTTCAAGAGAACCCCAGGTTATTGTTAAAGGTTCAACAATGGTATAGAGAAGAAAGCCGGGGAAAAAAAAAAAGGTACTAGGGTAGAAAGTTTGAATATAAAAAGATTGGGGATTAAAACTTGACATCATGGATATGTAAATATAACTTTATACTGCGGTATTTAGTTTGTGAAACCTTGTATCTGTTGTTTGCTCATGTGATGTCTCGTTTGGTCTTTCTCAAGCAGGAGGAAACCATCTTGAAGGGTTTAAGAGACCTGAAGCAAAGACATACTGCTTCTTTCTTGAATGTCTTGGAAAAAGGAGTCGGCAAGAAGTTACTCGAGAAAGAAGTTGAAATGGAGAAAATAAACTGCAAGAACAAGGAATTAGGGGAGAGAATAAAGCAGGTTGCCATGGAAGCTCGGACCTGGCACTCCAGAGCAAAATATAACGAGTCAATAGTCAATGTCCTTAAAAGCAATCTGCAGCATGTCATTGCGCAAAGTGCCATGCAAGGGAGAGAAGGATGTGGGGACAGCGAGGTAGACGATGCAGTCTCTCACACTAACCAGAACCATCAAGGCTTAGCTGGCACTTCTGCAAATCTAGTTTTCACAACGAAGCAGTTGAATTTCAGAGCCTGCAAGGGTAAAGAAGTGTCTGTCTTGTTATTGCCCTGTAGACACTTGTGTTTGTGTAAGAATTGTGAAGGGTTTATTAATGTATGTCCTCTCTGCCAGGCAATGAAGACTGCAAGTGTAGAAGTATACATGACATGAAAGGTATATATGTGTGTGTCTCTGTGAACACTTGCCATCGTCATTACCTCCTTGTAGAGGAATTATATAAAGTGGCATCATTTTCACTAGAATTATGAATAGTGAACTGAATAATAATTTCAACTTGATGATATGAAAGGGGTCTATTTTTCTCCTTTGCCTTATTGGCTTGTTAAATGATGTTTTTGCTTTATACATTGATATATATAGAGAGAGAGAGATAGATACACAATTAGTTTCAGATCATTTGGTGATTGAAACATAAAATATATGATGGTGAGTTTCTAAAATGATGTCCGAATCCTCTGATTAGGGCTTGATTTGGTCATAAGCTGTGGACAACATTTAAATACCTTGGTGTGGAAGAGAAAAGAGGAGAGGGAGGAGTGATCATCAGAGTGGACATTTATGCTTTGCTTTGTTCCGTAAGAAGGAAGGAAATAGGAAGAGGTGTGGAAAGAAAATTGGAAGGAAAGAAGAAATTTTCTTTGTTCGGTACCGATGATACAAGGAAAGATAAGATACAAATTTTCATAGGAGGGAAGAAAAGTGGGCTACGAATTAAATTATACAGTTTTTACAATATTATAGATATTAATGGATATAATGGTAAAAATAATATAAAATTTTATTTTTCCTGCTCTCCTAATTTCTTCCCTATGATGCCTCATCCATTCATTCTTCTCTATTTTCCATTCAAATTTGTTTTTTCCTACATAATGAAACCATGGAATGAATGGAGTCGGAAAGAAATTTCCAATAAAATTATCTTTCCATTCTCCTCTAATTGATTAGGTTTTGAAAACCCAAACTCCCTTTCCATTCTCCTCTGATTGAGTAGGTTTTGAAAACCCTAACTCCTTTTCCATTCCCTCTTAGACAAGGCAACAAGCTAGAAATTGGGAAAGGTGTACTAAATTCATTCACTTTTTGAATGGAAAACCCTAACTTCTCTTTCTCACTTTTTTCTCTTTAACCGACTTGGAACTAAGGTCATCATCACATGTTGCACCTCCTTTATATTCTATTGATATTGCGGATCCCAAATATGCTGATTTTATAAAGACATATTGGTCCCCAAAGTGGTCAGAATATCTTCCCTTGCAAATGGTACGAGAAAAGTGTTTTTAATTCCCTTTTAGTTATAACTAAAAACAAATAAAAATTGACATTTTCCTTTCTATCGGTGCTCTGAATCAGCCCACTAATGGAATAGTGGTCCTAACGAGAGATACAATTAATTTGTCATTACAGAAAAATTAACCAAAAAATTACATTTTTTTTAGATTATCCATGACATGTTGCAACCACAGCCCCACGCATGCTTATCTTAGCTTTAACAATGGTGAGTGGGGATGCTCGTTAATTAGTGCCTTAGTAATTATATATATGGTGACGCTACAAACAAATGAATGGGCTAGAATGTCCTCATCATTATTGTGATAAATTAAACTCTACTAGCGAGATTGTCCATTTCAATAATAATATAAACCGTATATATATATATACACAGCACACACTTGGATTGGAAGCCCAAGTAGTGTTAGATGCATTCAAGTGATACACTTATGGGGCGATTTTTTTATTATTATTTTTTAACTTTTTGAATTTAAAAATATTTTTTTATAGAGTCCGAAATTGTTACTCATTTGTTAAAAATTTGCTGGTGTCCGACTTTCTAAAATGGTGTTACGTACAGTCCAGCGGGGGCATCCAAACCCACTGACTTTTTAATTTTTAATTTTTATTTTTATATATGCCTATAAATTATACAAAATTTTGAAATTGTCTCCAATACAATTTTCAAAAAATTATACCCCATAATTATAAATCTTATATTTCTGATATGACTATATTTACGAGTATTAAATACTCCGAGATATGATACTTGAGGCAGTGGGAGCAGTTGAATTATGAATGTGTTGGTAGATCCCACCACATTCAAGAGTTGAGATAACCACGAGTACCATATCCCATAGTATTTAATATTTTCTCCTAAATCTACGTATTCTCTTGTTGTCTATCTCATTTTATATTGCCTTTTGTATATAGATATTTGAAAAACTACCCCCTTCAAAATTTTATATTTTAATCTTGTATATATAGAATTTTATAAATTTAAAATTATCCCATACTTCTAATTTTAAATTTGATTTTAATGTCTCTCTTTTACTTTGATCATTAGACCTTGCAACGTGAGTGATACTTAATCTTTAATTTTTTTTTTTTTTTTTTTTCGTATCTCCACGCAGCCCCTCTCAACAAAATTTCTGTGTCCATTATTGATGGAATGTTGTCCTCTCCTTGAGAATCACTTTGGTAGACTCCGACTCCATACGACTCAATCTTGCACCCTATATTTAGCCACATCATCATCTACCACTTCCTCCATATTATATTTTTTTTAGAATTGATATTATCAGTATTGTTGAACAAGATGACGATGTAGCTGAATATACACCATAACAAGATTGAGTTCAAGAGAAATATTCTCGAGAGGATAGACGTGTTTGACCCACATGTGCCTTTCCAAAGAATAAATTATTAGATAGTTATGGTTTATTTAATACTTGGTGAACTAATTTAATAAAAATTAATGTTAGATTTCTTTATAATATATTAACACACTCTCGTAGGTCCATTTTTTTAATCTGAATTAATTGAGCCACCAAATGTTAATGGTCCCAGAACCATCTAATATTTTCTCGATGTCCCTCCTTTGAATTTTTTTTATAGTTTTTTATAAGTGTCAAGTTTTGATTGGTCCACGTAATTTAATGGAAGGAAGTACCTTCTGATGAGAAATTATTATATGATTGCGTATTACATGGTTCGATATTATAACATGACACACAAGTAAAAATTCAATTTTAATAAAATTGACACATTTAATCACATACTGTGTTTTTTTTTTTTAAAAAAAAAAGTTACTTACATATGGTGTTGTGATTGGCCAAAGACTAATGGTGTAACAATTATGCTTTGCTTAGACAAATATTGTCAATCTACTTTTAATTTAGGGTAATTACACTAGTTCCCCTGAGACTTGGGCAAATTACATACATGTAAAGTGTTTGGCCTTTATTATTTTGACCTTTCTTAAAATTTGGAGTGTATGCTCAACGACATCCTCTCGTTAATAAAAATTAAAAAAATAACTAAGTTGTTATTGTATTGAAAGACCTCAATAATCCTATATTTTGACATAAAAAAATAAAAAATAAAATCATGAAATGTCATTAAAATGCAAAATGTCAATTTTCATACCAATTCCATATTATTAAATTTTACAAATATATATATTTGCTTTTGTTAATTACATCTGATTAGGTTTCTTTTAGGGTTTGATTAGGTTTTTTATTTTCAAATAAAATAAAAAAATTAGGTAGGGTAATATAGTGTTTAGAAAAAGGAAAAAATATAGATAATAGTCTTTTATTTTGATATATTTTTTTTATTAAATTAGATAAGGGTAGAAAAAAATTTTCATATTCTTATGCAAAGTCAATGCAATAAAGGCATTTCACATAAAGTTATTGTAATTAGCCTTTTAATTTAAGCCTTTTAAATATAGACTACTAGTGAATAATTGGTGCATTTAGCGTTTAACTTATTTAATAAATGAGGTATTATATATATATATATATTTTCACCAATAAATGAGTTATTTAACCGCATTGAATTCGAATTGACCTACGCACATAAATGAGACGCCAACCGAAATAGTCACCCCGACTTGAATGACTCATTTTCCACTATTTTGAGCCGCCAACACGAACCTAGCCTGCCTTGGAAGACTTATTTTACAAATTTTTGGCCCGCCAACAAAAAGCCACCATTGAAATTTCTCTGAATTTCTCTCTCAATAGGAACGTGTTCAATCTCACCTCTGCTATTCATAGACACTGAAAACAACAATTCCAGACATTATTTTCTCTCTCTAGCTAGTTTCCCGAAGACAACGCCTTCGGACATTATTTTCTCTCTCTAGATTTCTCTGATCTCTGTTCTCCAAAATGCAGAGCACTGCATTTACCTTCTCTCCTTCGATTTCACATTCCGGACACCGAAGACCTCCAACAAGCGATTGCTTTAGCTCTTCATGCAGATTCAATCCTTTGTCTGTTTCGAAATCACTTGATTTTGTCTCCTTCAATGGCGTCTCTCGATTGCCTTCGCTGTATTGTTCTTCGTCTTCGAGAGTCAAGAGCTGGATTTCGGCTCCGCCTCTCGTTCCCGAGCGTGAATCGGACGGTTTTGAGGTTAGGGCAACGGCGAGTGCCGGCGAGACTGAGAAGCCTAGCAGTTTGATCAACACGTTGCAGCTTGGAGCACTGTTCGGCTTTTGGTGCATTTTCAACATTTACTTCAATATCTACAACAAACAGGTTTAACTATTGCGTTTTTATTATTTATACTTTTGTCGTTTTTAATGCCCTTTATTTGCTTTGCTCGGGCTTTGAATGTGTATTATGTAAGTTTTGTCATAAATAGTTGAATTGTACGGTCGTAAAGATCACTCCCACAGTGTTGGGTTCACTGGAATCCGGATCCCTTCCTTTGCGGAGTGATCATAACCAACCGATTTGGTGCACAGGGCACTGGAACCCCTCTGCGCGAGAGGGGATTCGGGTTCGGGTCCACTCTACCCTCCCCTGTGCAAGGTGATCCTAATTTGGAAGACGAGGCCTGAATTTGGTTACATTAACATGATCCGTTTACTATTGGTATTTTAGAATTATTATTGTTATTATTTGGTTTCTACAAATTTGCTTACTGAAGTTTGTTAAATTTTTCTACTTGTTCAAAAATGTTTTTTACTCCATTATGTAAAAAGTTGCTGATTCTTTTGACCATGTAAGTGAATGAATTTTACTGTTGCAATAGCAGGATTAATCTTATGCATGGGTAATGTGTTCTTTTTGTGTGTTTATAAGCCAATGAGAAATGGGATTTTATACCTTTTCATGTTCTTAATTTGATTTTATCTGCTTTTGATGTATACACGAATGTTGAACTCTATGAAAATGTTTGTTGCTGTCAAATCATTAAGTCAAGCAAAAAGATCTTTACATGGTTATGATTTCTTTTATTTTTCTTTTGTACTTTTGAGGGAACATAAAGTAACAAGTCCTTTGTTTGCTGAAAGCCTATTCAATTACTCCGTATTATTTAGTCATCAACCAATTTCAACCGTGGCGTGACAACACGAGTCATACTAGTCTACTATACAATTTTTTTTTAACCTTGCAGGAAACTCACACACGCACATCTATTTGTGCCGAAACTACTGATAAAGAGATAAGGGGATGATCGATTAAACTTGTTGTTAACAGGTTCTGAAAGTCTACCCATATCCATTAACTGTTAGCACAGTTCAGTTTGCTGTTGGGACTGTACTTGTTACTCTCATGTGGACATTTAATCTCCACAAACGGCCTAAAATCAGCGGTTCACAGGTACTCCACTATCATGCTAGAATGGTTGTGCCATGAAACAAATTTCAAATTTAATACTAGTTCTGGTTACTTGACAGCTTGCAGCAATCTTGCCTTTGGCAGTGGTGCACACCTTAGGCAACCTTTTTACTAATATGAGTCTTGGAAAAGTTGCTGTTTCATTCACTCACACAATCAAAGCCATGGAGCCCTTTTTCTCAGTTGTTCTCTCTGCTATGTTTCTGGGAGAGGTGCGCATTTCATATGCTTGTACTTTCTTTCCCCCATTTTTCTTTGCTTTGGGTATGCTGGATTGAGGTTAGATTGTTAATTTTTGTCACATGAGAATGAAAGAAGTTAATATGCCCATGAAATCTGCCATCTTTGTTTTTGTTCTTGTGAAATGATTGCTTGAAAATGCTATTACTATTCTGGTTTGACTTCTGATGGGAAACTTTGTACAAAGATCATTTAGTGATTTGGACCTCTGTTATTTATGAATATTCATTGTTGTATAAGTTGTTTTAATCTTATTTTTTTACCCCAATCATCCTGCTCAAACAGATGCCTACTCCTTGGGTAATTACTTCTCTGATACCAATTGTGGGTGGAGTGGCTCTTGCGTCATTGACTGAGGCCTCTTTTAATTGGTGAGAAAACACACATGCGTTCGTCTTCGTTGTTGCCCTCCTCTCTCCATAAAACCTGGAAAAAGGGGCGTGGGGGGAATCAAAGGAAGACAAATGCATTTATCTTCCTGGCAAGAAGTCTCTATTTACATTATTTCAGTTTGGGAGTTTAAAAAATTAGCATCCAGTAAAAAGTAATTAAGTTTTCCTAGATTCTAATATATAACCTTTCTCTTTCTCTCTTGTTGTCATTGTTGTTGTTTGTGAAACAGGGCTGGGTTTTCGAGTGCAATGGCTTCTAATTTGACCAACCAATCTCGTAATGTCCTTAGCAAAAAGTTAATGGTTAAGAAAGAGGTAATGCTCACTCTAGTTTCACATCTTTGTGATCACCAACTTTTTTTAAATTAGAGCGCTAATAATTTAGCAAAACTTTATACTTTTTTTTTTTTTTATCAGTATTCTTTATTTTACAGCATAACTAAAAAGGATTGTTCTTGTTATTTTTATTTACTTCATTGGTAAATTACCAGTAGTTTGTTTTTGTACAGGAATCTTTGGACAACATTACTCTCTTCTCAATAATAACAATTATGTCCTTCATCTTGTTGGCCCCTGTTACTATTTTCATGGAAGGAATCAGGTTTACCCCCTCATACCTGCAATCTGCTGTGAGTTATTTCCAAAAGCTAGAAATTGCTTCTGTTTCATATTTATTTGTTCACGTAAAATGCAACTTTTATGTTGTGATCTCTGATTTATTTTGGTTGTCAGGGATTGAATGTGAGGCAGGTTTACATTAGATCTCTCCTTGCTGCACTCTGCTTCCACGCATATCAGCAGGTAAGCATTTCAAAAGTTGTGTTCTTTCATTTACTTTTTTAGTCAAATTTCATTTGTTCTTTAAGGTCGCTTAGTTTATTTTTCTAGCACCTGCCCTAGTAGCTTGTTCAAGTTGTAAATTTAAAATACAGCATTCATTGTAATTTTATCCCAAATTGTTTGAACTTTTATCATCTAGCACAAAAATGCATACTGCTGGAAAGATGAGTTGAATACATTGACAAATTCAAATGAAATTTTGCTTTTTATGTTGTTGCTTATATGGGAATTTTTGGTCGACCTTTAATATACTTCTGGTTATTTGATTCCAAATCTTGAGTGATTTTGAACATGTAGCTCTGTAGAAAATGTTGGACACTAAAATTTTCCTTTAAGGTGCTAATTTCACCTCCAGATGGGTATACTATATGGCAGTGTGCATCTTCCTATTTTTTAATTTATTTAGGAAAAATATTGTAAGACATTAAAATGGTTGAGATTATTCAAAATTTTCTACCTACATCATTAGAAAAGAAGTGTCTCTACTTATTTGTTTGCTTGCTTGCTTATGTATGTTTCTAGGATTTCCCTTTCATTTCCAACACTATTTCACAATCTTGAAATTGTGTGTTTGATTGGAAGATCATTTATTATAATTTGGGTGGCCTTGTGTGGGATTAGCTATAATTTTAGTTTTAGCTCACTGTGACCCTATCAACATAATGAATTTTACTATTCAAAGAATGTCCTATACAACTTAAGATTGTGCTTTTTCTTTCTTTCTTTTTTTATTTTTATTTTTAAATGAGTGATCAAAGATGTATGAATGTTGGTATTATTGTTTAGCATTACCACGAAGAGGTTGGGGAAGGGGAAGACTGGAACTATCATGCGTTGATATAGTTAGGAAATATGTGGTAGCATGTGGTTTGACTTGGGTTTTGGGAAACCAAAACTACCATGGGCTGGAGAGCTTGGGTTGCTCATATTCTGGTGCAATTTAATGGTATAATTCCATATTATAAGCTACTCGGATCTATATTAGGTCTCATGTTTTTCATTTTACCAATTAAAAACTATCCTTATTAAGTTAGTTTTTAATTTTATATTATATATATATACTAATAAATGTTTATTGTATTTTAGCCTTTAATCTTGTGGATTCAACCCCTTAAAATAGGAATTGGCTTTTAACTTCCAAGTAGAGTTGTTAGGCTTGAGGCCTGGGCCGAATCTAATGCATACATTAAGAAGTGTAGGAAGAGGCTATAAAACAAAAAGTTAATCAAGATGGCATATGCCATGATATTATATATTGTATATATTGCAACATGAAGTAGATATATGGAATGGTGATGATTGATGAGCTGGATATACCCAAATGTGATAATTTTAGGTCTAATTGTTCTTTTATACATGGAGAGTGAAAATACGAGAGGTTGTCCATAGCACTGGAGTGGGATGTTTCAAGTGGAGTACACATCTTGAGTGTTGTGTGATCAACGACCTAATGAGGTGATGGCAAAATTCTATCGTTTGCAGAGCTGGGATGTTAGGTTGATAAAGAAATAACGTATCAAAAACATTGCCAATGTGAGAATGTGGAGTTAGATAACTGGCAAACAAGAAAGGAAATTATTGCCAGAAAGGATAAAATTAGATAAAGAGGATGTGGAGGTAGATGACTGGTAAACAGGATGGATAGCATTAGAGATGAAGGAATCGTTGAGAAGTTAGAGGTAATGCCTACTTCTGTTATTTATTTTTTCAAAAAAAATGGCCATTGGAGGTAAGTGCTATTTATGGCGTAATACAAGAATTTGGACTAGATGATCGTGTCATGTGTATAGAGTGATATGGGCCTACTGAAGGTCGGTGAATCAATAAAATGAAAAAATTATGGTAGCTTTCTCCACTCCTCTCTCTCTCTCTCTCTCACACACACACACACACACCTTTCCTTTTTGTGAAAAATTAGGCTCAACTCAAAGACCAATGGGACAAGTAGGTCGCTTGCCAAAAACAGGTGGATACAGTTCAAACCCTTTCACTATTGATTTTATATGTGGACAGGTGAAATCCACCTATATTAGAACTTCCCACAAAATTAGAATTTTGATACCATTCAATTGTTTCTATAGAGATTTAATGGCAACAATCATAAAGCCAAAGGTAATACTTGGTGCATTTGGTTACCTAAATAGGATCGATCATGTGATTGGTGCTAACTATGTGGGTGCTTACTATTAGTGGGAAAAGTAATCGGGAAGTTGTAGCCTTGTGCTCTAAACTGGCTGGTGTTTGGTTTCTATGCAATTGAGAAGTATAAGAAATTTGCTTCACTCAGAAACAAAATCACATTAAGGGGATAAAACCATACATGTAGAAGGTCAATGACCATCATCAAGTCCAGAAATCTTTTCACTTTGTATCGGATATTTTCCCTCAACTTTAATCATTTTCTCCGCCATATTGTTCTTATTTCAACAATTTGTTTTCATTTATCGTCTCAACTCCACAACTAAGGGTTAAATGCACTAGCATTGTGATGGTTGCACGAGGCTCTAATTTCTTAGGACATAACATTTAAGATGAGTTCATTGTTTATCTATTTGTTGGAGTTCTGATATATTCTTGCCTTTCTTGATATTTTTTTTTTTTAATAAGTTACCTTTCTTGATATTATATGAATCCATCCACTTAACAAGAACCCTATTTTTTCCCTATGATCAAAATAAAGAATTGTATCCAAGGTGGCACTCCTAGAAATGCCTTTATCAGTTTCCACTGAGCTATTACAGCTTATGCATCAAATTTACATTTGATATATAAAAACCAGCAGACAGTCAAAAGCTATAGATGTATTGAAACTTGCTGTTGTATACATGTTGAAATACCTGTGCTCCTCATAATAATGCTGATGTGACTTTGTCATTCAGGTTGCTTATATGATTCTGCAGAGGGTATCCCCAGTCACTCACTCTGTTGGCAATTGTGTGAAGCGGGTAGCGGTGATTGTGGCATCTGTACTCTTCTTCCGCACACCTGTATCACCTATCAACGCTCTAGGTATGACTACTTACATCTGATCAATCAATAATAATAATGTCAAAAAGAGTTCATTTGGTTCTCTATGTGATTAATAAAAAATAATAAACAAATTGTCTTTTCGTTGGTACAGGTACTGGGGTGGCTCTTGCTGGGGTGTTCCTGTATTCGAGGGTGAATCGCATAAAGCCAAAGCCAAAGACAGCATGAAATTTTTGCTTGTAACCTGGGTTGTTAGATTTTTTTTTTTAGGTAAATACTCATACACACCGACAAATTATAACTAGGGGGCTTGAACCCCCTCACGTCTCCTTTGAGATTATACGAGCTGGGCTAATGGCCTAGTGATACTTTGATTGTTAAATGACAAGGTAAATATCACAACGGTCATATGTCAAGCACACTATTTTGTTAGTTTTTCGGTTATACTTTTCTTTTCCTTTGTTAGGATGGTTCTATGCGTAAATTTTACAGGCAGCAAATGTTCTGAGTAAAGGGAACACTAGTATTGATGGTCACAAATAAAAGCTTTTTGGAATGAAGGATGTACGTTTTCCATATTTGGAGATATAGGAGATTTTCTTTTGGATAAATAAACAAGCATAATGCCATAATGGGGCTGAAAAACATTTATTTATTCTTGCTAAATAATATACGCACCCAACCCACTGGTCTCTACAAGTCTTGAACCTTAACATTATATTTTGGAAGATGATATTAAATTAGAGTCTTTGACGGTGAAGTCGTGAGACCGAATTTTTTTTTTACTATAATTGGTTAGATCATGGCGTCCGAGGACGTAGTTGATGTGCAGTCGTTGCACCTTTAGTACTAAAGCATGTATTTGAATAGCATCATAAATTGTTGGGATTTGTTACAAAATTTGTTAGGACAATACATTTTAAATTGGTTAAAAAAATATATATATACATTTTAAATACCACATTTAAAATGCTTAAGATATTTCACCAGGCTTATGTTGTTTTTGTCAATGTAAAGTAACTCTAATTTTTAGATACCCACAACTGGATTTTTAGATATCAGATAAGTGCATAAAACACTTTTGAAGTATACTTTGAGTAGCACTTTTACTCTCTATTTAAAAAAATGTGTAATAAATATCCCTAATCTTTTGAAATTGTGCAAAATTACCTATCTGTCTATTACATAAATTATTGTTATAATACACATTTTGTCCTTTTAGTCTTTCGAAAATATCCATCTTTTTCTCTCTACTCTCTGTGATTTGGTCGTTGACGTTTCCTTTTTCTTTTTCACCACCGACTCTTTCTTCCATCACCGCCTGTTCCTCCCACCACCGTTTTCTTCTTCTTCAACCACAGCTTGATGGAGCAGTGGGACCCACGGTCAGCGCGAGCCGGATCCAATTCTACGAACTCTCTCTTCTCTCTCTCCCTCCTCTTCCCAGATTATCTCGCAAAGCAGGAATCTTGGAAGGCGCGATTGATCTCACTTAGTGAAATAGTTTTACAAACCCAATCTCTCACAAGTCACAACCCATCTTCTACCTTCAATCCTCACCACTGCCCATTTCTCCAGACCATCACTCTCTCTCTCTAAACCCACCATCACAACCCAATTCAACCCTTCAAAGCTGTACGCATTTCGCAAATCTTTGGTACAACCTTTCAAATGTTCAGTTTATGTTGTTTCAGAGCCTACCCAGCTAAAGTCGACTAGCAATGATAAACCATTCCCAGCTGAGGTTTCAAGAACAATCATGGAGTTGTCCTTTGTGGCCACTCTTTCTACGTTGAAGCAAGATGGTTGGCCTCTTGGTGTCGATGTCCACTTCACAATGCACCATTCTGTTGGGAGAGATAACAATAAATAAACACAGCGGAAAAACTCTTCTTCCTATATGCAAGCAAATATAGTGTATCTCTACTTTTATATGTGCTGAAAATAATAGAAAAGAAAATTAATCACACCAAGTCACAAGAACACAAGTAATTTTTACGTGGAAAACTTCCCTAGTGTGAGGAAGAAAAACCACGGGACCTAGTCCAGTTAAAATCTCCACTATCAACCAAATAATGGGTACACAAAGTCTTCTCTAAGCTACAATACATCTCATCAAGATATAAACAATCTTGGCAAAAACAAAGAGAATTGGAGAGAAAAATACCAAAACCCAGTTACTGTTTATAGGCACGAATCACTATTCCCAAGCTCAAAATTCGATCTCCACCGTTCAGATTTTAACTCATTGAGTCGTGAACCTCTCTTCCAAATTTCAGCTCAATCGGACCACGGACGAAGCGGGATCGGATGTTTGATAAAATATGAGCAGAATAGAAAAAAAACCTGCGTTTTTCTTTTTTCTCTTGTGAAAAAAACGGCTGATCTCTCTCCCTTTTTATTCTGACTTCCTTAGGGTTATTTACCCTAAAGAGCTGGGCTTTGGGCTTTAATAAAACCCACTTGGGCTTTCCTCCATATAGAAGGAAATAAACCCTACAAATCTCCCCATTTCCGACTATGTGGAGGGAATCGCCATTTCGGCGATCGAACAACAAACTTCAAGCTTCTCTCTTGGTAGGGTCTTTGTCAACATATTAGAACCACTATCATTAGTATGAACCTTCTCAAGTTCAAGTAACTTATTGTTCAACGCATCTTTGATCCAATGCTATCGTACATCAATGTGCTTAGATTTTGCATGAAAACTGGAATTCTTAGTAAGATGAATGACACTCTGGCTATCACAAAACAACACATACCTCTGCTGCTTGAAACCAAGTTCTCTCAAGAACTTCTTTGCCCATAGCAACTCTTTAGTCACTTCCGTTGCTGCAATAAACTCTGCATCTGTCGTAGAAAGAGCGATACACTTTTAAAGTCTCGATTGCCAACCTACAGCCCAACCTACAAAAGTGATCAAATAACCCGAAGTAGACTTACGAGTATCCATATCCTCTGCCATATCTGCATCTGTGTAGCCAACTAACAATGGTTGTCCGTTTCCCAAACCAAGTCTCAAACTGGAAGTGCCTCGAAAATACCTCATGATCCACTTCACTGCATTCCAATGCTCTCTTCCGAGATTTGACAAAAATCAGCTAACGACACCAACTGCATGGGCTATATCTGGTCTTGTGCAAATCATTGCATACATCAAACTTCCTACTGCTGAGGCGTAAGGAACTCTTTCCATGTTTTCCTTTTCCTTATCTATAGAAGGACATTACTTTGTACTCAGTCTGAAGTGGGTAGCAAGAGGAAAGCCAACCACTTTAGTGTTGTCCATATTGAACCTCTGAAGCACTTTTTCAATGTACTCATCATGTGATAAATATAACTTCTTGGCACTTCTATCACGACTGATTCTTATGCCAAGAATTTTCTTTGCTGACCCCAAATCCTTCATAGCAAATGACTTACTTAATTGCTTTTTCAACTGGTCAATCCTTGAAGCATTCCTGCCAACAATCAACATGTCATCCATATAAAGCAGTAGAATAATAAAATCATCATCAGAGAATTTTTTAATAAATACACAGTGATCAGAAGTTGTCTTCTTGTAGCCTTGCTCTCCCATTACAAACTTAAACTTCTTATACCACTGTCTCGGTGCTTGTTGGCTTTTCTTCAGCTTGCACATATAATCCTCTTTCCCTTTCACTTTAAAACCCTCTGGCTGCTTCATATAAATCTCTTCCTCCAAATCACCATGAAGGAAGGCAGTTTTCACATCCATTTGCTCAACTTCCAAGTCAAGATTAGCTGCTAGGCCAAGTGTTATACGGATCGATGACATCTTTACGACTGGAGAGAAGATCTCATCAAAGTCAATACCTTTTCTTTGACCGAACCCTTTGACAACCAATCTAACTTTGTACCGTGGCTGTGAAGAGAACCCGTTTGGTTTCTTTCTATAAATCCACTTGTTTTCCAAAACTTTTTTTCCTTTAGGTAGCTTCACTAACTCAAAAGTGTGATTATCATGCAATGATTGCATCTCATCTTGCATGGCCTCAACCCACTCTGTCTTGTGTTCATCTTCTATGGCTTCTGCAAAACATTGGGGCTCTCCTCCATCAGTCAATAACACATACTACTCTACTAAATACCAAGGGGAAGGACGCCGGTCTCTGGGAGACTTCCTGGATGGAATCTCTGGTGGAATTTCTGGAGCTGTCAACTGCTCATCAATCTCAACATCTCCCTAAACCTGTAGGGGAACATCCACATCACCTATACACTAGTGGACATCTTGTACATCATTCTCAACCTGAGATGGCAGATTCTTCAGAGGAGCTGGATCTACATCAGTCAAGATATCACCTTGCTGAGACATAGATTTCCCTGCTTTCTCAATATCCTGAATCGTCTGATCTTTTACAAACACGACATCTCTGCTTCTCACAATTTTTTTCTCAACTGGATCATAAAGCTTGTACCCAAACTTATCTTGGCCATAGCCAAGGAATATACATTGTCACGTTTTCACATCCAGTTTGGACCTTTCATCTTTTGGAATATGCACAAATGCTTTGCACCCAAAAACACGAAGATGATTGTAGGAAACATCCTTACCTATCCAAACTCGGTTTGGCACATCAAACTATAGAGGAACACAGGGTGTAAGATTCAATACATGAACAACTGTGCTCAATGCCTCCCCCCTAAAGGATTTTGGCAACTGGGCTTGTGAAAGCAAATATCTCACTCTCTCAACCAGTGTCCTGTTTATTCTTTCTGTTATACCATTCAACTGAGGAGTTTTTGGAGTTGTCTTTTGATGTCGGATACCCTGCTGTCTACAATACTCATCAAAAGGACCAGAATACTCTCCGCCATTATCGGTACGAATGCATCTCAGTTTCTTCCCAGCCTGTCTCTCAACTAGGGTTTGGAATTGCTTGAACACTACCAACACTTGCTCTTTTGAATTCAAGGTATATATCCACAATTTCCTTGAATGGTCATCTATGAAGGTCACAAAGTATCTGGAGCCACCAAGTGTTCTCGTTTTCATAGGGCCACACACATCTGAATGTACTAAATCCAGTATCTCTGACTTTCTCGAATGAAGGGAATTCATGAAGAAGACTCTGCTCTGCTTCCCTAACAAACAATGAGTACACCTTTTTAGAAGTGTACTTTTCAGTCTACGTAGTAAACTTTTCTTCCCTAGTAGAGCTAATCATTTCTCACTCATGTGAGCCAGTCTCTTGTGCCACAACTCTGTTGTATCATTATCTTCCATCGCATTAACAATGTCGTTGGAGATCTTTGCTTGCAGAATGCACAGTGCAAAGTGCTTTATGCCTCGAGCCACAACCATAGCACCCCTAGTGAGGTTACACTGGCCATCACTGAAAGTGCTGCAATACCCTTTGTCATCAAGTTTACCTGCAGAAATCAAATTCAAACGAATGTCAGGAACATGCTTCACATCT